GAACTTGGCCCCGGCTTCCCCGTCTGAACCCCAGTAACAGCCATTCTAGGCCTTTAAGGTCTGCCCTGGCTCCTACTGATGTAGCCTGCAGCCACTGCAGCTACTGCTGACCAAAGATGGTGTAAGGGTCTTTTGGATATGGACCTGGACCCCGAAATTAGCTTTCCAAGGGTTTCTACACCGAGGTCGTCGCTGTCCAATGTCAATAGTCGCGCCCAGACCTACATGAAAACTGCGGAAAACAATATTCAGGATGGTGCTTACATTGCCAAGCTGCTAACACACAAGCACCGAAATCATTGACAGTCACCGAAGACGTAGCGCGCGCGCAAAAGCTTGGAGGCCATACTGATACCCGTACCTACGGTATACGCTTACACTCTATTACTCCGTACACTAAGTACCTAGATATGGGACGACTACGGCCTGTTCAACTCCATGCCCTGCTGAACTACGGGTCGAGACCCTGCATAAATCCAGCCCCCTCCACCGGCCCCTCCACCATCCGTAGAGCCCACATGTGCATGATCACCATGCCATGACATCTCGGGCAGGTTTAGCCTTGAGTTCCTTTGCGACACCGCCCTGTGAGGCTTTGCGACCCGTCAAGACGTCGTAGATGCGTTTGCCAAATTGGTTGAAGGCATTTGTCATGCCGCCCATCTTGGTCAGTTTCTTCTCGAGCACGGACAACTGAAATTCGAATGTCTCGCCGTCGACAGTCAGCACGTTGCGATCCAGGTCGATCTCAATGTTGGTTCCTGTCTGCGCCTTCTCGTAAAACAAGGGATCGTCGATGGTGAAGCCCCACAGACCCAAGGACGGCTGGTTTCGGCTGTAAATGAACGCGAATGCCTTTGCAATCACACATTCGACACCGACGCCTAAGACAGTAATGTCTGGTCAGCCCACCATCACGAGCGAAGGAACGGCACGAAGGAACGAAGGATGGTGATGATGATGATGATGATGATGATCACTTCGGAGAGTCATTTCTGCCGGCGGACAAACTCATTGACGGACAATGCGGCGGTAAGAATCACCGAGAGCGAGGGGGCATATGTGCAAAGTAAAATGCAAAGGATTGAGGGAATGAGACTCCGACGCACCTAGTAAAGCTTGCACAGCCTCTTGACGACTAGATCCACAGCCAAACGCATCGCCAGCAACAATGACTTTGTGACCTTCCTTAACGAGCTGCCGGAATTCCGGGTTGGTGAACTCGAGGCAATGAGTGCCGAGCTCCTCGTTGTTCTTGGATGTGAGAAGGTATTGTGCAGGCGCAAGCTATTTGCGGGACGGCCCGTTAGAACATTGTTTCTTGTGCGTCTCTTTTGCTGGCTTCATGTGCGATTCGCGAATCAGAAGCAAAGCAAGGGAAAGGTGGCTTACCGCATCGGTGTCAACAAAATCTCCTAGACGGAAGATCTTACTCCTAATGGTCCCGGAGCCGGGCTTAGCCTGATCGGCGGCCGCGTCCTCGCCGGACGGGCTGGGTCCCTGGTCCTCCGCGACGTCCTTCGCATCCTCTTCGGCATCTTGGCCTGGTGGCTCCACCCATTGCGGTTGGCTGAGGATACCATCGGCAAGGGATCCTTTACCCTTGACGGCGGCCCATCGATCCGCTGGGATGAGGTCAATAAGATCTTGTGGAGAAGTGACAGCCATGTCAAAAGACGACGCAGCCACCGTTGCAGCGGACGCCAAACTGCCGATAGCCCCTGTCATGCCAGTTATTAGCTTACATTGTCCAGCGTTGCACTTTCCCAGCTGAGTTTGGGTCTCGAGAGGGTCTTGAGAGGGGTTTCTGGTGCAATATCACAAAACTGCTCGCGGGTCCACCTGGAAACGGGGCATATCTGCGGGCAGTTTTGGCCAAAAAAGGGACAGGCAGGGAAATAAGAACGATCGTGAGTGTATCCCACGAGACTTACCCTTGCCCATACGGTTCTCGAAATTGCGGTTCTGACTGCTGAGCCAGACTTCCCCAGGTTTGGCCATGTCAGCGCCCATTCCCACACAGTAGCTGCATCCAGGGATGCCAATGATGAAGCCCGCTCTCTCGTAAATGTCTGCGAGGCCTGTCTTTCGAAGGTAGTCGGCGATTGGGCGGCTTCCGGGGACGACTCGGCGCTCTCCTCGGGCCACCGGCTTCCTTCCCGCGTCCAGGCCAGCCTGCAGCACAAGCGCGCCCATGACAAGATCCTCCTCCGCTGTTGTGCAAGCACCGATGAAGACACCATCAAGGTGAGTACCTGCCACATCAGACACCGGCACTACATCATCGGGGCTCGGGTACTTGGCCACAAAGGGCTCGACCAGAGAGACGTCGATAGTATGTGACTCCGCATAGGAGCATCCTTCGTCGGGCTTGAAGTAGTACGATGCGGTCCTGTGATGGGCTGTTTTACGGGCATCGATAAAGTCCTTAGTGACTTCGTCGGGAACAAATATCCCTGTGATGCCACCAAACTCCTGATTTCGAGGTTAGCAACCCTGAAACTTCGTGCAAAGTGCCAAGGGTCTGCATGCCGTGCCGGCGGGATAAAGAGGAATCGAACCAGTAAGAGCAAAAAGGGTAAAAACAAAGGCAATTGCTTACGGTAGTCATGTTTGCAATGGCAAAGCGGGCGTCAGAACTCAACCATCGGCACCCGGGGCCCGTATACTCAACTACCCGATCCGCAGCCACCGTATTCCGTTTGAGCTGCTGAAGAATATAGAGGATAATATCTTTACCTCCGACTCCTCGCTGGGGCTTACCCACAAGGTGGATCTCGACGACCTCGGGAACTTTGAACCAGATCTCTCCAGTAACCAGAGCCATCGTGACCTCGGTTGCACCCAGTCCAATCGCAAGACAACCGTCGGCCCCAGAGCTACACGTGTGCGAATCCGAGCCAATGATGATTTGGCCTGGTTGGGCCCGCTCACGGTAGAACTCGGTGTGCATGATGGTGTAATTGTTGCCCTGGAACTGTGTCATCTTGAACTTCTTACGAGCAAAGTCCATCTCGCCAACCAGCTTCTGCACAAGGGGCGTATCCATCAGCCTTGGATCAACCACATGATCGCCAGCCAACCAGAAGTTGGAATTCGAAAAGATTCCAGGGTCTCCCAGCTTGTTGTAGACTTGAAGCATGCCCTAGTTCAACGTCAGCAAGCCATCCAAGCCTGTGAGGATTTAGAGGTGAGGGTAAAGTGTAAACATACATGCCAGCTAGCCTCGCTAGCCATGATCCAGTCGACAGAAACTCTAATCGTATCCCCTGTTCGGACCCATCCTGTGCGAGTCACGTCATGCAGAGCAAATATCTTCTCTGTAACATTCATGGGGCGGCGGCTGGCAGGCCGGCTTACTAGGGGAACGATCGGTCCCCCCCGTCGATCGCTGGAATTCAGACTCTCGAGCCCTGGTGAAGGAATTCGGTCCCGATCAGTTATCATTCAATAAAAGCGGCAAGGCCAGGGGTGGGCTGGAAGTTCGCGGCACAGAAAAGGAAAGGAAGTATGCTTACATGCTGATGTGAGCAGAATCAGCTCGCTGCGGTCCGTTGCGCTTGACTCCCCGGTCCAGGTCAAACCCATACCGCCGTAGTCGGGGGACGCCGTGGCGATGCTGACGACCTGCAGAATTGTTTTCGCCTCTTTCTCCTTGCCATCTCGCTGCAGTCTAGCTGCCAAGGCAGAAAGAACAACTAGAGGGTGCTCGGAGCTTTCAGTCTCTACATCCGACGTTCCTAATCTGGGCATCAGGTCTGTCTAGCGATGAACAGGGGATATGGACATTTGGATACTTACCACCGTTAGGTGTCCGCTCGTCTTTCAAGTGGAGATCTCGTGTTGCAGCCAACAGCTGCAGAAGCTGCTCGTTGAAGCTCTGTTCCGCCATGCTTGTGTGAAGTATTCAGCAATGAACGATGTGCAACCTTTGATTGGATCTTGTAGATGCTGTGTATTACTCCGACGGTAGAATGGGCGACCAAGACACGAACCTGGCCAAAGGCTTCTTTAATAGATATAGTAAGGTTATCATGAGCTTCAAGATTGGATTCAAATTACCATTGATCTTTGATTCTGTCCTTCACCTGGCGCTGGGAATGTCTCGTCAGCTGGAAAAGCGAAGGTCAGATTGGACGCAAAGTCATCCCATGATCCATCCGTGCGGGCGTCTGTGCAGCGTCTAAACAGCTCGTCAATCTCAATGTCTACGACAGGTGTATGTGACTTCACTGCTTCTCATATTTCAAAAGTGTTCTTTTCCAGTCGTATCCAAACCAGACACGTTGTTGTGACAGACGCTGCATCGTCAGCATGTTTGAAAAGCCATGGCTGCAGGGGGGATGAAATCATTCTGGCTCCGATGCTGCGGTGGCCGGCCCCACAGCGAAGTTCCGTCTTCGGGCGCCCTCCTCTGTTTATTGAGTTGCTCTGTAAGCTCAACCACTTCGAATGATCGAAAGACATCAATCGTTCCATGCGTTCATCCGGAGTCCGTGTATCTACCGAGCTGGGCTAGATGGCTATGCGAAGAATCCCATGTGCTGATTTGATAGTTTGGCTCTGCTTGCTTGGCCAAGAGACTGAAATCGCACATCTCCTGAATTACTCGTGAGAACTAAGACGGGTTCACGGCATGCCTTGCTCCACAATACGAGCTTCTTTACATGGGCAGAAAAAGTTAAACATGACTTCGATGTCTTGTCTTTTTGGCGACCTGGGCGTGTGTAACGTTCAAGATACGGTTGAGGCTGACTGAGAAGCACAGGCATCAGAACGACCCGGATTTTGGCACACATGGGTCACCTTGCAATTTGGCACCACATGAGAAGTGGGTTGAGTAACACGTATAGAATGATATTGATTTGTGAAAATGTTTGATAACAGGCCTATTCTACACCAGCAAACTTAGATAACCACCCAATTTGACAATACTCCTCCGTTTCCCATGCTACTCTGACTCCGTGCCACAGTTGTTTGTTTCCGTTTCTGTTACTTTCCTAGCTCAGCTTCGCTCCGTGTCGCAGTAAACGCTCAACCATTGCTTTGTTCCCACTTTCTGCCGCTCTGTAGAGAGGCGTGCAACCGTCCGGGTCCAAGAAGTCGACGTCAGCTCCATGCTCCGCAAGCATGGTCACCATAGGACCTTGGTTGTTTTGCGTCGCGTAGTGAATTGGGGCCAGCCCAGCTTTATCCGCGGCATTGACATCCGAACCGTGGAGGATCAGCGTTTTAGCCACATTGATGTGGCCGTGTGTTGCTGCAATGTGCAAAGGGCTTCCTTGAGTTGGTCTCGCAAACTTTCCCCATATTGTCAGCAAATGGACGTGCAAAGTAATGGAGCTTTTGATCGTTGCTGAGATTTAGGGCAGAAAAATGAAATGTGAGAGATTCCGGATGAGTACTTATATAAGAAATCCTCATCTGTGCTCTTAAGGAAGTGATGGTGGGACGAAGTGAGATATACAACTTACCCCTAATGTGAGGATATCTTCTGTTGAAAGGTCTGACATGTCTTCGTGTCTGCTGTTTGGTGTCATGAGTGTCATGCTGGCGTCTAATGTCCACGGCTCGATGAATTCGACAGTGTTCAAGTTGTGGGGGATTCCAGCCGAATATGAGCTCGCGTCAAGGTCATCAGTGACGGCGTTTCGTTGCAGCGTCCGTGGAGCAGCTTCTCCAGACACTCCCATTTCCGAAGCAGGGAAAATTACTGCTGCCTGCCCAAAGTCTTGGGTCGACTCATGCGGCGGGGTCTGAAGTGAACCGAACGGATCGGCAAGTGCTGCGGTGTATGTGAGGTCCTGCAGAATCTCATTAGCCCAGACTCTCGTGACAATGGTACCGTAAAGACGCGTAAGCACACTTGCTGTGACCGTTGGGGGTGAAGAAGAAGCGCTTCTTGACCTCCTCGTCGTTGTTGCTGATGTTGCTGTGGATGATGACGCGACATGGCTCGTTGCTGAGGCGGCTGCTGCGGCACTCTTTCCCTTGGCTCCTAGAATAACTCGACTTGTTGGTTTCTAAACGTTTCTTCTCTATTGGATGGATGATAACGGATGATGTTGTGGCATGTGCTCTGGCATGTGCTGTGGCATGTGCTGGACTGGGTTGGGCTGGGAGTGAGGGTAAAGATAGTGAAGTGAGGGTGTAGGCAGGGTAAGGTATGTTGGTCTTGAGGTTGCATACGGGACTTTCGCTTTGCCAGTCGGTTTTGTGTTCTCCTCCGCTCGGCCGGGTTGACTGTAAGGGCCATCAAAAGAGACCTCATGTCACCCTCGCAGCTCATGGTGTTCATGGTGGCGGCAACTGTAAATAAACTACTCAGAGCACAACCTGCACTCGGTCCGTATAGCGAAGAAAATAAAGACTAAAAGAGTACGGAATGCAGTCAAGCGCTGAACTTGCAGGAAGCTGCAGAAGTATTTCTTAACCGCATCAGACACATCAGAGACAGACAGGCCTCAAGACGGGCCGCAGCGGGCAGGAACACTATGAATATCGGCAGCACGTCATGGAGTAAAGCCCGTCCTTCCGTGACACTATTCAACAACCTGGGTCTCTCGAAATCCTCCTGCACCTTAAACTTTCGCCAAGGCAGTGTCGGTGCTACCGAGGCTGAGGCGTTTGTATCCACACCGCCGGCGAGTCCCACAAGCTTCCAGGGGAAGGGGGAAGGATTCTCGCATTAAATCCTAGTGCCAGCATAGCGACCCCGGTGCCGAGATCCCGGGGAAAATGCAACGGGAGGGCTCCGCGTGGGATCAACTGCGGACATTATTCCCCGCGCCGAAGCGCGCAAACGGCCGCACCTCCATGCTCGGTCTAGGCATGCCAATACATATAGGGTTTGAACGTTTGATTGTCAGACCACGAAGGAAGCACGTTTCTTTCCTACTGGGGGAAAGCGAGTCAGCCAACGTGTCCAAGATCAGCAGCTCCTTAATAATGCTAGGCCTAGGCGTAACGCTCTCAAACCAGACCCTTTGTGGTCTGCTGGCGATGCAATGTCAAGACACTTTGAGAAAGTTTCTTGGTCGAGCCGTTTACGAATGTTCCCGTTCGTTTTTTGTGGTACTATGCTACTCACTAAAAATGATCCTCCCCCACCGGAACCATTTTCCATGTCCCGTCTCTTGATTACCTGTCAGGTCCCGATGCTACCGGTTCATCCGACTAAACATCGGCTCTTCTCATGAAACATCCTGTCTCTTTCGGAAACGGAGTTTACAGTTAAGCCCCTTCGGCAAAGCATCCTGTGTTCCCCATTGTTCCATAATACGACTTGGATCGTCCAATGCAGTCTCGAACGTGAGAAGAACAGCAGATATCAACATCTTCACCTGGAGAGTTGCAAATGCTTTGCCCAGGCATAGACGGGCACCATACCCAAATGGGATGAAAGACCGCTCCAGTCTTAACAAGCCTTCAGGCTTGACGTCTAACCACCGCCTTGGGTTGAATTCCAGCGGCTCGGGAAAGACTGACGGGTCCAGGTGCAACGCAATGGTCGAAGCGGATGCAACGGTCTAGTTTTTACATGGGTAAATGTTAGAACGGCGTGTAGAATACTGGCTTGGGTTCTATGGCAGCGGGAGTGCAACCGGCAACTTACGTATGGGGGAATGTAAACATCGCCGTATCGGGTGCCCTTGGCCAATATACGCTCGGCTCGCCCACTAGAAACTGGATTGATCCGATATGACTCTCTTATGCATGCTTCTAGAATAGGGGCTTTGTCGAGTAACTGCCAGACTGGGAGGCCGTCATCTTCCTGCGGTAGCGCCTCAATCTCAGCTCGAACCTTGGCTTGCCAGTCAGGGTTCCGGCTCAGGTGGTAGACCACATACGTCAAGGCAACAGTGACTGTTGCCTGAGCCGCGTGGAGGTTATCGATCACCTCGCATGCCACATAGTCATCAGAGATATCACGACCAGCAAGTCGGAGATCTTGAATGAGGCGAATAAGCGACCAGTCAGACGATGACTTTGGATCAGAAAGTGAGTAAGCCAGGCGCTGCATGGCCCAAACATCGAGGTCTCGCTCCGCCGAGAGGAATTTGGATGAGCCAGTGTACATGGAAACGGCCTTTTCCATCATGTTGTGGGCGAAAGGTAGGTTGAACTTGAGAGAGTTCCACATCTCCGTGTTCTTGAGCCTGGCAAGAATGTCGCGATCTGTGTAGTCTCCTTGCACAGCATGAGAGCAGTGCCTTGGTCCGTAAACCAACGCGGTGATGTTGTCCCATGCGTAGTGGTTGATGACAGGAAATACATCGATGATTTGCTCGAGCTTGGAATGTCTTTCAAGTGTCTCTCGGACTCCAAGCGCCTTTTGCCGGAGAGGCTGTTGTATCTCTGACTTGTAGATGGAAGTTGCCTGGTAGAACGCCGAAGACAATCCTCTCTTCGCCTTGTGCTCTTCGTACGGCTTCTCGGCAAATATTGACCGCTCTCCGTGATAAATGAAGTGGTCAAAGTAATCGCTCTTGGGGTTCCTCTTGGAACTGCTGTAAAGGTCTCGCATAGCCGTAACGTCGGAGATTGACACTTCTCCTGGTGCAATAAGCACGAAAGGGCCATATTTCCGATGCCACTTTGCGATGGCCTGAGGCCTTTGACGAATCAATTCGAACAATGCAACATAGTGATGAGAAATTCGGCATGGCCAGGGGCCTGGAATATGCCGGTATTTTGCCACTCGCCATAGTACGAAAGCGAGACCGGAAATAGTCAAGACTAAGGCAAATAAGCCGATGTAGCGAGAAAAGATCTGGAAACTGATAATATTGGTCATGGTGCTCGTATCAAAAAGGCTAGGAGGATAGGAGTTGCTGTCTCTGTAGGATGCTCATCCATAAATTTTTGTTTGAACAGGAACGTGGCTGACGAATACTTGTAGGCGCCATCTATCCCTCCTCCAGAGGATTTTACTAGCCGTGACGATCGTCTTTGTCGATTGCAGCCTCCATGATGCTGTTTACTACAGATGGTGTGACAGTACAGGCATGTTGTATGGGCCCCAAACGTCCGCTGACTTTGCATTGCGAGCGGAGACTCGAATAAGCGACTCCTGATGTTGGTGATAATTCGTCAGACGACAGGGCTTGTGGCTATGGCAGTTGTTTTCATGAGGTTACGTCGGAGATTTTCCGCGTCACCGCAAGAAACATTAAAACAACATAGCTGGGACGGACGCATCATTGCGCTGCAAAAAGTACCTTAAGAACGAATTTCTCGGCATCTTAAGTAACGCATGAAGGTTGTATCAGCCAGATACTTGAATACTTGTTATTCTGCAAATACCTGTTAGATACAGCAATCTCGGAGACTACGATTTAGGAAGATTGGCCTCAGACAATCTTCACGATACATTAGGTGCAGAAGATGGGCGCCACGATATGTCTTGCTATGATGGATCATATTTCTACAGAATTAAAAAGACTTAGACTCATAACTGACACCGATCCTGTTGCCTCAAGATCACTTGCCAAGCAATAGCAATCTGATACTCAAATGATCGTATTTAGCATGTGGGCATGAAGACGAAGGTCTATCTCGTGTACGGCATTATGTTATGGGAACGAGGTCTACCTTGCACTAATTACCCTTTTGCTCCACATATGACCTTGCTGCTGTCTCGTATGTGACGAATTCCACCTGTGACCCCCAGCTTTTCAGCCAGAGTAGCACATCCTCGATGGCTCCTGCGATATGTGCCATGCCTGAGGTATCAGGATGGAGGACCAAGGGGAAGACGAAGTCACCGGGACCATTTCCGTCAGCGCCATGGCTCCACAACCAGGTAAAGCGGTCTTTCCACATCTTCTCGATCGTCTGAACCGACACAAAGCCGTGAGAATTCTCGACATTGGGCCAAAACTGGAGGGGGGTCATGTCTTCCATGTACCAGTTGGCAGGGATTTCAACAATCCCGGTAGATTGCGGCTGGACAGAGGGCTGCATCCATGTATGTGCTGGCTTAGAATAGTCAACTGGGGTGAGAGAAAAGCCTCGGTCGAGAGGGTACAACTGTGAGTCGTGGCCGCTGAGTGAGGTGTCATAAAGAAACCCCTTTTTCTCCAATAGAGAAATCGTCTCATGGCGGATTCGGTACAAAGGAGCTCGGAATCCGACAGGGCGCTTCCCAGTCAAAGACTCGGCAAGGGCAATACACTTGTCCAGGACATCTTCCTCTTGCTTCGTATCAAGCTTGGTGCAGTCTTCGTGGCAATAGCCATGAAGTGCAATCTCCGCGCCTGAGTCTACGATACATTTCGTCTCCGCTGGGAACGTTTCCATAGAGTGACCTGGTATGAACCATGTTACCTTGTCGGAGACGCCGATACGGTGAAAGAGACCCAGAAGGCGGCCTACGCCAACTCGGCCTGCGAAGATGCCCGATGAGAAGTCGGCTAGGCAGTTGTTGGGATGCTGCCCTGTGCCCATCCAGCCCGACACCGCATCAAAGTCGACTGACACAAGTATTTGAACACGGCGACGGGCGTCAGAAATTGGTCGAGGGATCCTGGCGAGAGCCGTAGTCAGCTGCAGCTGCCCAACGAGATCCTGGAATGCAACAGCTGTCTTCGGATTTTCGTCGACAGGTGTGATCCGAACGCGGACGCCCCCGATTTCAACGACTTGATGAGCAGTCAGTTACAGGCATCGGGATAAAGGCGGGTCGATCTGGATTCCATACCGTGTTCCATCTTCAGATTGCTTGACAGAGAATTTGTCCGGAGATCTCTTGACAAAGTATGGTTGAGATTGACTACGGCCTATGCGGTGATCAAATGAGTGATGACCAGCTGGGGTTGGAATTGGAGTTTGCAGTCTGCACGATCGTGTGTACCTCTCCTCGTGTCTGCTCTTGAGAGTTCTGACCCAGTTATAGTAATTCTTATTGATAAGATAATGCACGATAAGGACTAAGAATATGCGGTGTCGTTGCTGTCTCTACATGATTATTGGACCCCTCTTGGAGATCTGATTAAACTTAACTCAGGCTCTCCCAAAAACTCAACTAGTGGAGCTCTGAGGGCCTCATTGATGCCAGCGACACCCCGCACTCTGTCAGCATCATGACCATGTTTCGTCCTGCACTGTCTCAAGAATCTAGAATATGGAGAGCATGGATGGAAGTAGGTAGGTAAAGTTTATGCAGATTTTATCCAGTGACTGTCGTTGGGTGTCTTGGTCATTATGACGTCGCTTATGCGCTCTCTGCGACCCAGCATGGATGATTATGACCTTGCATATGAGGGGAGGCGGTCAATGCGTGTTCTGAGGCAACGT